TATTCCTGCTTGTACCAACTACTGGACCACTGACATGCTCTTGGATGCTCTTTAGGAAAAACAAAATGCAAATGTATTATACACAGACTTCGTGAAAGTCTTCGACAAGTGCAATCATGGTATAATAGCACACAAAAATAAGTGATAAAGGAATAACAGGAAACCATACCACAGGTGGGATTTGAACCCACGGTCAGAGAGTTTGGTTTGTTTGCATCGTGTCATTACGATTTCGTGAGTCAATAACAGGAAAAGCGGGTAGATGGATCTATAACCTCCTAACGAATAGAACACAAAAAGTAATATCAAACAGAGTAAAGTCAGGGGGAGCTACAGTGAAAAGCTCTGTTTCACATGGTACAATACTTGCTCCCATCCTGTTCCTTATCCTCATATCTGACATAGACACAGATGTAAGCCACAGCACCGTGTCCTCTGTGTATGACACCCAAATTTGCATGACAGTGTCATTCATCGAAGACACTGCAAATCTCCAAACAGACATCAACCAAATCTTTAAATGGGCTGCATAAAACAATATCAAGTTCTATGAAAACAAATTTCAATTATCCTGCAAAGGAAATCTCGAAGAAATTAAAACTAAATTGGAGTATAAAACAAATTCCAACAACACAGTTGAACAAAAAACTAATGAAGGACCTGGGAGTGATAATACCAGAGAATCTCACTTTCAAAGATCACAACAATGTATCTACCACATTTGCTTGGAAAATGATAAAATGGATAACGATAACCTTCAAAACTAGAGATGCCAAGCCCATGATGATTCTCTTCAAATTGCCTGTTCTCAAGGCTGGAATATTGCTGTACACTAATGGCCCCTTTCAAGGAAGGCGAAACTGCAGACCTGTAGAATATACAGAGAACTTCACAGTAAATATTAGAACCTACAAGACTAGAAAATATGCTGGACCTTATCTTCACTAAGAACGACAATCTGATAGGTAATACTATAACCGTTTCAAAGACAATACACTCAGATCACAACATAATAGAGGTACAGACATGTATGCACAGAGCTCCTAACCAGCAAAATGTGATCAGTCATAGGGTGTCTTCACAAAATTCAACTTCAATAACAAACATACAATGGGAACAAGTCAACCATGTCCTAAAATGAAACAAACTGGAAAGAGATCCTAAACAACATGGATCCGAACCTTTGCCTAGAAAAAATAAACTGTGGTTCTTGAGATCTGCTCAAGGCACATTCCATTAAGAAAAAGAGAGAGAAAATGTAAACTAGAGAGAGAGAGAGGCACTCCCTATACAGATGAAGGCAAAGAGTTGCAGAGCTGCTGACAGGGGCCAATATATCTGAAATACAAAAGGAGGCACTGGTCAGTGAAATTGCAAATATCAAACTTAAGCTGAAGGAATACTACAGGAGACAAGAATTGCAGGAAGAACTAAAAGCCATAAAGGAAATTGGAAAAAAAAAATACAGTGGACCCCACCTTACAATCAGCTCCCAACTCGAATAATTATGTAAGTGTATTTTTATAAATGCTTTTGTACGTGTATTTTTGGGGGTCTGAAACGGACTAATCTAATTTACAATATTCCTTATGGGAACAAATTCGTTCGGTAACGGCAACCGAACAGACTTCTGGAATGAATTAATATTGTAAGTCGAGGGTCCACTGTACTTATCTTATGCCAAATCTAAGGGAAAAACAACATCCAGTATTAGGCCCCTACTTAGGTAAGATGGGACATACACAGATGACAACCAAGAAATGAGTGAGATACTAAAGTCCCAATACGACTCAGTGTTCAGTGAGCCGCTACCCAGACTAAAGGTCAACAATCCAAATGAATTCTTTATGAATGAGATGCAAAATTTGGTCATCTCAAAAATCTTGGATATTATCCTGACACAACAAGACTTTGAAAAGGCAATTAATGACATGCCCATGCACTCTGCCCCAGGCCCAGACTCATGGAACTCCATGTTCATTAAGAACTGCAAGAAGCCCCTGTCTCGTGCCTTCAGCATTCTACGGAGAGGAAGCATGGACACTGAGGTCATACCACACTCACTAAAAAACAACAGACGTAGCCCCACTCTACAAAGGTGGCAGTAAAGCAATTGCAAAGAACCACAGACCAATAGCACTAACATCCCACATCATAAAAATCTTTGAAAGTGTTCTAAGAAGCAAGATCGCCAACCACCTAGATACCCATCAGTTACACAACCCAGGGCATCATGGGTTTAGAGCAGCATGCTCCAGCCTGACCCAGCTACTGGACCACTATGACAAGGTCCTGGATGGTGTAGAGGATAAAAAAAATATGTACAGATGTAGTATACACAGACTGCAAAAGCTTTCAACAAGTGTGACTGTGGTGTAATAGCGCACAAAATCCGTGATAAAGGAAAAACAGGTAAAGTTGGTTGATGGATCTATAACTTCCTAACAAACAGAACACAAAGAGTAATAGTAAATAGAGTATAGTTTGAGTCAGCTATGGTGAAAAGCTCTGCTCCACAAGGCACAGTACTCGCTACCATTCAATTCCTCATCCTCAAATCTGGCACAGACAGAGATGTAAGCCATAGCTCCATGTCTTCCTTTGTGGATGACACCCGGACTGCCATGACAGTGACCTCCATCGAAGGCACCACAAGACTCCAAGTGGCCATCAACCAAATCTTCAAATGGGTCACTCAAAACAATATGAAGTTCAATGAAGAGAAATTTCAACTACTTAGATATGGAAAACTTGAGGAAATTAAAACTGTATCAGGGTATAAGACCAATTCTAACCATACAATAGAGCGCTACAAATCCTTGTAAACCCTCACTGTAAACTACCTATGTAAATATACTTCCTAAAATGTGTCAACCACATTGTAAACCTGCAAGGAAATAAAGGAATTTGAATGTGAATCTGAAAAAGTAATGTGAAGGACCTGGGAGTGATAATGTCAGAGGACCTCACCTTCAAAGATCACAACAACATATCTACCACATCTGCTAGGAAAATGATACGATGGATAATGAGAACCTTCAAAACTAGGGATACCAAGCCCATGATGGTTCTCTTCAAATCACTTGTTCTCTCTAGGCTGGAATACTGCTGTACACTAACTGCCCATTTCAAGGTAGGCGAAACTGCTGACCTAGGGAGTGTACAAAGAACTTTCACAGCACACATAAGTACGATAAGGCACCTAAATTAATGGGAACGGTTGAAGTCCCTTGATTTGTATTCCCTGGAATGTAGGCGAGATACATAATAATATACACTTAGAATATTCTAGAAAGCAAAAGACTCGGCAGGAGATGCAACAGTCCCCCAATGAAAAGCAGGGGTGCCACGAGTACACTGAGAGACAACACAATAAGTGTCAGGGGCCCAAGACTGTTCAACTGCCTCCCAGCATACATAAAAGGGATTACCAACAGACCCCTGGCTGTCTTCAAGAAGGCACTGGATAGGCACCTAAAGTCAGTACCTGACTAGCCGGGCTGTGGTTCGTATGTCAGTTTGCATGCAGCCAGCAGTAACAGCCTGGTTGATCAGACCCTGATCCACCACGAAGCCTGGTCTCAGAGTGAGTCGCGGGGATGCTGACCCCCGAAACCCTCTCCAGGTATACGTACAAGTATGATAAAGCACCTAAATTACTGGAAATGGTTGAAGTCCCTGGAGTTGTACTCCCTGGAATGCAAGTGAGAAAAATACATGATAATATACACCTCTACATGAGGTGGTTCGGACATGTAGAGAGAATGGAGCGAAACAGAATGACTTCAAGAGTGTATCAGTCTGTAGTGGAAGGAAGGCGGGGTAGGGGTCGGCCTAGGAAGGGTTGGAGGGAGGGGGTAAAGGAGGTTTTGTGTGCGAGGGGCTTGGACTTCCAGCAGGCATGCGTGAGCGTGTTTGATAGGAGTGAATGGAGACAAATGGTTTTTAATACTTGACGTGCTGTTGGAGTGTGAGCAAAGTAACATTTATGAAGGGATTCAGGGAAACCGGCAGGCCGGACTTGAGTCCTGGAGATGGGAAGTACAGTGCCTGCACTCTGAAGGAGGGGTGTTAATGTTGCAGTTTAAAAACTATAGTGTAAAGCACCCTTCTGGCAAGACAGTGATGGAGCGAATGATGGTGAAAGTTTTTCTTTTTCAGGCCACCCTGCCTTGGTGGGAATCGGCCAGTGTGATAATAAAATAAAATAATACACTTGGAAAATCCTAGAGGGACTAGTCCCAAATCTGCACATGAAAATCAATCAATACCTGACCAGCCGTGCTGTGGCTCATATGTCAGTTTATGTGTGGCCAACAGTAACAGACAGGTTGATCAGGCCCTGATCCACCATGAGGCCTGGTCAAAGATCGGGCCATGGGGGCGTTGACCCCTGAAACACCCTCCAAGTATACACGAATGGCTGTACTTAATTCTTTTTATTTAGTTCATTATTAGTATTATTAGTAAATTCATGTGAAAGTGATAAATCTATAACAATTGGGGACTTGAATTTAATTAGGTATTATCCAAGGAATGGGAGGGCTGCTGTAAATCTTTGGATCAAGAGCCCTTCATTTTTCCCCTTCTTAAGATATTATTGACAAAAAGAAGATATGTTATAATGATATAACCTAGAACATCCCTACCAAACACTGACTACTTATTTTCCACATTTTTGATCCAAGGAATCGGAGCAACCCTCTCTTTCAAGTATCGAATCTGATTACCTCCCATCCTTCGGGCAGTGTATGACCCATATAGGTTTGCCACTTCCCATGAGTGTAAATTTATTATATAAAACAATACACTAAACCCACAAGGGTTATACTGTATTTTGTAATATTTATATAATGGGGAAGCACTAAACTTGTAGGGGTCATAGCGCTGGGCCTGATAAGCAATTAATATGAATCAGCGGGGGAGGATAAGCCCAATTCATTGGATCAAGAGCCCTTCACCAGCGACAAAACACCTTAAGGGATTAGAGGCCTATTATTATTATTATAATCAAGGGGGAAGCGCTAAACCCGGAAGATTATACAGCGCCTGGGGGGGGGGATGTGGAAGGCATTCAGGCTTAATTCGGGGAACTGGAGCACAGATCCAATTCCCTAAATCAAGAGCCCCTCACCAACATCAAGGAACCTTCCTTGAGGGGATTAGAGGCCTAGAAATTACTATTAACATATTCATGAGAGCGCTAAACCCATATGTAAATGTACGGCATTCAGGTTTGATTCAGGGAAGGGTAGAACAGATCCAATTCCTTTGGTCAAGAGTCCCTGAACACCATCAAGACACCTCCCAGAAAGAGAAAAATTCTCAGTGCAGTATGTGTACGTAGTTGTCAAAGGTGATTCACATGCAACATGTGCGAGAAGCAACCCATGACACCACATGCAGAACCTCACTACCGAGGAGTAATATCAGCAGTAACGAACAAGATCAAGATGATGATTAAGACCTTTTCCTGGAGGAACTCGTCCCGACGTTCAAATGTTGTTGTTGAGTTGATGGGCAACGACGGTCCTGAGGAGGTAACAACTACATATATAATGTTGGGGGAAAGGATAATATAATAATATCTTTATTTACTACAAGTATATGTACAAGGTATACAGTCCTAGCTGACAACAATGACATACTACTATATAGCACTACTACATAGAAAGCCGCTTGTTATGCTCCGCATGTCGGGCAAATTAGGTCTGTGTCCCAGGATGCGACCCACACCAGTCAACTAACACCCAGGTATCCATTTTACTGATGGGGAACATAGACAACAGGTGGAAAGAAACACGTCCAATGTTTCTACTCTGGCTGGGAATCGAACCCAGACCCTCGCCGTGTGAAGCTAGAGCGTTAACCACCAGAGCCATTGTATATATATAATTTTTAAAGGGGTGGACCGGTAAGCCAGGGAAATGCCTCGGTCAGATTACCAAACCTACTATAATCAAGGAGGAAGCGCTAAACCCGGAAGATTATACAGCGCCTGGGGGGGGATGTGGAAGGCATTCAGGTTTAATTCGGGAACTGGGGCACAGATCCAATTCCCTAAATCAAGAGCCCCTCACCAACATCAAGGAACCTTCCTTGAGGGGAGATTACCAAAAGCACTAGTTGCGGGTCATCATATGACCCTCACGTCAGGAAACACAGGTACAACTCAAGACAAGAAACTCTCCGACACTCCCCGTGTCTGCTTCACCCTGTGCAAAAATGCACACACATCAAAGGCCCAAAGATTTGAAATTCATTGCCCGAACCAACGAAAGGTCCCAGTCTGTCAATCATTTTAGAGTTATAGTTCAAAATCACCTCATCTCCCTAGCTTAACTACACTAACACTATGCTGTACCAAATAAAACCAAGTCATCAAACTACTTCCTGTTTCTTCACCGTCTCTTATAATTGTTCCCTAGACTGAAACCATGGAGCCAGTTTGAAACTACTTAAGAAATCCCAGTTACCTTAAGATTACTAAATCATTTTAAAGTATTAATGCATACTTAAAACTGTACTATTTTTTCTACCTCTTTTTTGTAATAACGTATACTTAAAATTGTACCACTCAACAACCTATGTCCAGTCTCAAGTAGTCTGTAAGAATTAAGATTAGTCTGCCCGAAATGAACAGGATGCTGGTGTCTTCTTTTGTGCTTAACAATATTTTATTACATGTAACTACATCTTGTATATTGCACAAAGAAATAAAGTTTGTTGTTTGTCCTGTTTCCTGAGATCCTGAGAAAGGTTACAGCAGCCTTCCAGTCTCATGCATCCTCAGTGGTTTTCAGAGATGGGTTAAGATGGCCCTGAAAATGCTTAAACCTCATATAGTTCATAATAATAAAGGTATATAACACCGAAAAACTTTATGAATAAGATACATGTGCATCACTTTAGTTTCTGAGCTGTCTCGAAATATTAGTCACCTCTGTATCCGACTGAAGAAGCTTGTGTATCTGGCCATCTCTCTCTGCCATCTCTTAGTCTCCTACACAACCTTATGTATCTGGAGAGAGTTCCGGGGGTCAACGCCCCCGCGGCCCGGTCTGTGACCAGGCCTCCTGGTGGATCAGAGCCTGATCAACCAGGCTGTTACTGCTGGCTGCACGCAAACCAACGTACGAGCCACAGCCCGGCTGGTCAGGAACCGACTTTAGGTGCTTGTCCAGTGCCAGCTTGAAGACTGCCAGGGGTCTGTTGGTAATCCCCCTTATGTATGCTGGGAGGCATTTGAACAGTCTCGGGCCCCTGACACTTACTGTATGGTCTCTTAACGTGCTAGTGACACCCCTGCTTTTCATTGGGGGGATGTTGCATCGTCTGCCAAGTCTTTTGCTTTCGTAGTGAGTGATTTTCGTGTGCAAGTTCGGTACTAGTCCCTCTAGGTTTTTCCAGGTGTATATAATCATGTATCTCTCCCGCCTGCATTCCATGGAATACAGGTTCAGGAACCTCAACCGCTCCCAGTAATTGAGGTGTTTTATCTCCGTTATGCACGCCATGAAGGTTCTCTGTACATTTTCTAGGTCAGCAATTTCACCTGCCTTGAAAGGTGCTGTTAGTGTGCAGCAATATTCCAGCCTAGATAGAACAAGTGACCTGAAGAGTGTCATCATGGGCTTGGCCTCCCTAGTTTTGAAGGTTCTCATTATCCATCCTGTCATTTTTCTAGCAGATGCGATTGATACAATGTTATGGTCCTTGAAGGTGAGATCCTCCGACATGATCACTCCCAGGTCTTTGACGTTGGTGTTTCGCTCTATTTTGTGGCCAGAATTTGTTTTGTGCTCTGTTGAAGATTTAATTTCCTCGTGTTTACCATATTTGAGTAATTGAAATTTCTCATCGTTGAACTTCATATTGTTTTCTGCAGCCCACTGAAAGATTTAGTTGATGTCCGCCTGGAGCCTTGCAGTGTCTGCAATGGAAGACACTGTCATGCAGATTCGGGTGTCATCTGCAAAGGAAGACACGGTGCTGTGGCTGACATCCTTGTCTATGTCGGATATGAGGATGAGGAACAAGATGGGAGCGAGTACTGTGCCTTGTGGAACAGAGCTTTTCACCGTAGCTGCCTCAGACTTTACTCTGTTGACGACTACTCTCTGTGTTCTGTTAGTGAGGAAATTATAGATACATCGACCGACTTTTCATGTTATTCCATTAGCACGCATTTTGTGCGCTATTACGCCATGGTCACACTTGTCGAAGGCTTTTGCAAAGTCTGTATATATTACATCTGCATTCTTTTTGTCTTCTAGTGCATCTAGGACCTTGTCGTAGTGATCCAATAGTTGAGACAGACAGGAGCAACCTGTTCTAAACCCATGTTGCCCTGGGTTGTGTAACTGATGGGTTTCTAGATGGGCGGTGATCTTGCTTCTTAGGACCCTTTCAAAGATTTTTATGATATGGGATGTTAGTGCTATCGGTCTGTAGTTCTTTGCTGTTGCTTTACTGCCCCCTTTGTGGAGTGGGGCTATGTCTGTTGTTTTTAGTAACTGTGGGACGACCCCCGTGTCCATGCTCCCTCTCCATAGGATGGAAAAGGCTCGTGATAGGGGCTTCTTGCAGTTCTTGATGAACACGGAGTTCCATGAGTCTGGCCCTGGGGCAGAGTGCATGGGCATGTCATTTATCGCCTGTTCGAAGTCATTTGGCGTCAGGATAACATCAGAAAGGCTTGTGTTAACCAAATTCTGTGGCTCTCTCATAAAATATTCATTTTGATCTTCGACTCTCAGTCTGGTTAGTGGCTTGCTAAAAACTGAGTCATATTGGGACTTGAGTAGCTCACTCATTTCCTTGCTGTCATCTGTGTAGGACCCATCTTGTTTAAGTAGGGGCCCAATACTGGACGTTGTTCTCGACTTTGATTTTGGCATATTATTATTATTATAATCAAGGGAAAAGCGCTAAACCCGGAGGATTATACAGCGCCTGGGGGGGGATGTGGAAGGCATTCAAGCCTTTAATTCGGGGAACTGGAGCACAGATCCAATTCCCTAAATCAAGAGCCCCTCACCAACATCAAGGAACCTTCCTTGAGGGGTGATTTTGGCACAGGAGAAGAAATACTTTGGGTTTCTTTCTATTTCATTTATGTCTTTTTAGTTCTTCCCGCGATTCCTGACTCCTATAAGATTCCTTTAGCTTAAGTTCGATGCTTGCTATTTCTCTGACCAGTGTCTCCCTACGCATTTCAGATATATTGACCTCTTTTAGCCCCTCTGTTATTCTTTTCCGTCGCCTGTAAAGGGAGCGCCTGTCTTTCTATTTTACATCTACTCCTCCTTTTTCTTAGAGGAATAAGCCTTGTGTTGGCTAAATGTTTAATAATAATAATAATAATAATAATAATAATAATAATAATAATAATAATAATAATAATAATAATAATAATAATAATAATAATAATAATAATAATAATAATATCTTTATTTACTACAGTACATGTACAAGGTACACAGGCCTAGCTCACATCAGTGTCATACTACTATATATAGAAAGCCCCTTGTTATGAGAAGCATTTCGGGCAAATTAGGTCAGCTTTGTCCCAGGATGCGACCCACACCAGTCGACTAACACCCAGGTACCCATTTTACTGATGGGTGAACATTAGACAATCAGTGTAAGGAAGCACGTCCAATGTTTCCACCCCTTCGCCGAGAATCGAACCCGGACCCCTCACCTTGTCAAGCGAGAGCTTTTGCTACCAGGCCAGGGGGCACGGGGCACCGTTTCAAAAATAATGATACCAGAGTGTTGCACATGTGTCTGTTTCATCAAATCCTTTATGTTGTTTGGAAGGGGTTACGACAGTCCTGAAGCTGCAAGGACACAATATGTGCTCACTTACATGTGATTGTAGGAGTTCATTCTCAGTTCCTGGTAACACCCATTCACTGGCCGCTACTGGGTTCACTTCCTCCTGGCTTCGAGAGCCCTATCGTACCTCTTATTACTATATATGGATCCTGCCTTTACCCCTCCACTATCCATGTAGTTCTACTTTATGATAACTCTAAATCTGAAGAAATATTTCTTAATATCCCTGTGATTCGTCAATGTTTTCAATTTCCAATGGTGTCCTCATGTTCCACTTTTCCGAATCGAATAAATCTGTTGCTGTCCACCCCATCAATACCTCTTAGTATTTTGAATGTCATTTTCATATCATCCCTAGTCCTTTTGTCTTCTGTAATCAGGATTTGCTTCGTTAGTCTCCCATCATAGCTCATATTCCTCAGCTCAAAGAGTAGTTTCGTTGCAAACCTCTCCATTTTCTTGAAATGCTTGATCAGGTGTGGGTCCCACGCTAGTGTTGTATAGGCCAATGTACCTGGCATATACAGTGAATGATTTATTACTTAGGTTCCTTAAAGCTAGTGTTAGATTTGCCAGACTAGCGCTTGCTGCGGCAGTTTTGGGTTGATGTGAGCCTTAGGCAATGTTAGTTACCATTTTGTCCTAGGCACATGTCGATTAGACACTAGGCCTGGTGTACTCACCTATTTGTGGTTGC